TTGTCTGTGTGGTACCTAACATGATACCCAGATGCAAATATTTATTGAATGATTGGCCAAGTGGAAATGTCAATCAATGAATGAGCATGAAAAGTTTGGGATGGGAGGATCAACTAATGCTCTGAGTCATGATCAGAGATTGAGTGGTCTAGCTCTGGATTTTGTACTGCAGTATATCACCTCTGAAGGTCCCTTTCGACTTGCTGGAACTGTTATAGAGCAACCCCGATACAAAACGGGGTGCCTGACTGTGGGTCCTCACCCACGCGCTTAAAAGGACTTATCAATGCTCTACTGCAGGCACATGCGAAAGGTTAATAAAAGGTTTGTTTACAAGGGAAGGGGAAATGAGGAAATGTACAGCTCAGGGAGAAAAGTGGGAGACAAAGTTTTAAATGAGTCCTACCCAATCCGCGAATCTGGAATCCCAAATGGCGCTCTGAGAGCTGGCTGCAAGCCAGGAGCCGTGAAGCCAGGAGGCGAGCGACAGAGCAAGCCCCCCCAAGGCCCACGTGTTTGGTTTTTATACCCAACCTGGCTGCTTAACTCCACCCTCAGGTCCCAGCCACCTTCCCTTTGGTGGTGATGGGATTTGTCTTTCCCAATGTCTTGATGGCTTTGGGGTGGGGGTAGGGTCCACAAAGCCTGTATGGGATTAGCTCAGGACATCATTTCCCCCTAACAGTTCTTCTGCAGTCTTTACTGATGCTGTGGACCTTGTCCATTTTTACTTGCCTGGTGTCTCTTATTTTTTCCTTGGTCTCCACTTCCTTTTCAGGAAATGACCTCTGCTCATTATATGTCTTTTTCTTGTCAGGGTGAACCGTGTAAGCACCTCCCTCTGTGAAACCTGTTGGCCTCTATATGGACCAATACCACCCAAACTCAGCCAATCAGCCACTCTCCCAGGACCGTGATTTCAGGGCAAGTGACTCAAGGGTGGAGGGGCTGATTGGAGGTATTTATTTCAGTGGTGGTGGTTCTGCCATAAACCCTAGCTTAGGGCTTTGCTGCTTCACCCTCTGGAGCTTTCCTTATATCTGACTTTTTCTATTCTTGGTCTTCCAGCCTTCAACCAGGTCTCTGAGCTGTGAGTAACCTTCCAATATAATTCCCTCCTATGAAAGTCATCCAGTGTTTACTTGTGCCACACACAATCAAGGACCCCTATCTGATGGTGCAGGTCAGCTGCTCCTCCAGCTAAAAGATTTGGTTTCTTTCACTTTGTTTCTTTTCCTGGCAGCAATCCTGCATGGCCCTTTTAAAAATGATAGATACTGGAAGCCGCCTCCTTTTTACACTCATTCCAGGTGATTTGCCCCTTTCATTTCCAGGTTCTGCCTCCATGTAGTAGAGAGCGGTAGGGCGGTTCCGCCCTGTTGGACAACGATTCTTCCTTCTTTGTTACTGATTCCTCACCCCAGTAGCCTGGCCTTGTGTTTTGACCACTATTGACTGGTTAGTCGTTAGCCATCTCATCTTAAGATGGATCAACTGGATTTCTCTTTCTCGAGAAATTTAACCTAGGGAATGTGAAAGTTGTAGATTAATGAGAGTTAAGCCTCAGAAGTGGTTTGGTGGTAGGGAAGGTCTATAATTTTCTATTGTTGAAGTTTGGGATATTTTCCCTAGGGTCCCAACATTTCCCTATCTTCAGGAGAGTTCCAACAAATTTAACTTTCTTGATTAATTTTTCTAATATTGGCTAATGTTAGCTGCTGCTGAAAATAATTAACATAGTCTCCAGGAGATAGAAGGCTCCTTGGCAGCAGGGTCAAAATTTCATTCATTCATCCATTTACTGAGAACTTACTAAGTGCCAGACACTGCTAGGTTCTGGGAATCCACAGGTTTCCTGTGGGTTTCCTGTCTAGTTTGAGGGTAAAAATGTTTCCTGTCTAGTTTGAGGGTAAAAATGTATTCAATCAATATTCATTAATTTAATCAGTAATTCATTTAATTCAACTAATCACTGTTAGCACTTATTTAAATATTAGGTGACAAACCCTGGTACTAAATGCTTGTCTTATATATTTCTTACAACAATGCCATGAGGTATGTTCTAGATGAAGAAACTGAGTCACACAGAGTTTAGGCGGCTTTGCAAAGTTACGGACTTGTAAGTGCTGGAGCTTTGTCTCTAATCTTGTCCGACTATAGAGGTCTTGCTTCTGTCTACTCCTTTTCAAAGAATCCCAAAGCAATGTGACACATGCTTACATAGGTGTGCAAAATGCTTACAGAGGAGAAGGCCATTGATTTTGCAGGGAGGTTGAAGTTCAAGAAAGGTTTCCCAATCGAATTGGTTTGAGCAATCTTGAAGGAAGAGAAGAATGATATCCCTGGTAGTGAGCCCAGAACTTTGCATGTGAACTCTGGAAAATGATGATGAGGTGGCTTATGCATCTGGAAGGGGTTGTTTTCCTGTTTACACAGAGCCTGGGGTGTTTCCTGCTGCCTTCTGAGGCATCCCCATTGTGATTTAGCAATGGTGTGGTCATCAGATCACTTATGTTCGCAAAAACCTTGTGAGGGAAGTAGTACAGGTCTTAACCTCCTAAGATGGGTGAGGAAACCAAAACTGAAGTTGCATGACCTATTGAAGCGCACATATGATGAGTAAGTGGAAGAACAAGGCAAGGATCTGGTGTCCTGCCTTCAGGAGGGAGGGACTAGCTTCAGGATTCCTCTAATCCAGGCAGGCTCTTTACACATAGGGTGCAGTTCAAGACTTTGCCCTTTCCAGCCTCTGCACCTGAACTTCTGAAGCCTCCCTTTCCCAGGAACACACTCCCTTTCCTTCTCATTTCCAGCTCTCCAAATCCTGCTTACCCTTCAAGATCAAGCTCACCTCATCCCTTCCTCCCAACCGGGTCTCTAAATTCATTCAGTCCCTTGTCTAAACTTCAATTCAGTCCCTTAGCCCTGCTTCCAACTAGATTCTTGCCCTGAAAACTTCCTACATAGAAAACTTCCCTTTATAAAACTGCCTGTTTATGTTGCTGCCATCCGGCTCCCCTTAGTAAAACTCCTGTCCCCTAATCTTTGTAGCCCTAGTTGGCCTCTTATTGTTGTTTACTATATGTGTATTGATTTGTCTGTTTCCAGAACATACGTTCCACGAGGTGCAAGCTATGTGTTTCTTTTTTAGCTTTCTCCATTGGGATTGTAGTGTTTATTGACGCAAGAGATCTGCTCCACCCACCTGCTGTTAGGTTGTTCAGTCCAAAGTCATGCAAAATTGATAGCTTGTCCACCCCCTTTCTAAAACTCCTGAGGGGTTAGGGCGGAGGAAGAATGCGGAAGCTCATATTGGTGCATTAAGCAATTAATAATCAACATTTAATGAACATTCACTAATGGCCAGGTCTTGTACAAAATATGCTTGTGTATACTTAGAAAAACTAAGTGTATACTTAGTGTATACTTAGAAAAACTTGTAAATACTTAGAAAAACTATTCTTATCTCCACTGTGAAGACACATACAGGTCACTCAGCTCACTCATCCTGTAAGTGACAGGGTCAGGATTCAAACCCAGATCCACTGCAGTGTCCATCCGCTTAACAGTAACACTTAATTCTTCATGGTAATGCAAAGTCTCATGCTATATGTGGATTCATTTCCTTTTTAGCCTCCACGGGAATATAGAATTACAGGGGTGGAAAATAATATTATGCTCTAATAATGTTAGGGGGAAAATGATGTCCTAAAGCTAATTCCATACAGGCTTTGTGGACTCCACCCCCACCCCAGGCCAAAGCCAAAGACACTGGGAACTCCAAGTCCCATCACCACCAAAGGGAAGGTGGCTGGGACCTGAGGGTGGGGTTAAGCAGCCAGGTTGGTAAAAAGCCAAACACATGGGCTTTGGAGGGGTTCCCCCATTTTGACTCTCGGCCAGCTCTGAAGAGTGCCTTTGGGTTTCCAGGTCAGCGGATCGGGTAGGACGCATTAAAGACTTTATTTCCCTATTTTCTCCCTGAGTTGTATATTTTCCTTATTTCCTTTTCCCTTGTAAATAAACCTTTTATGAACCTTTTGTGTATGCCTGTAGTGGAGTATTAATAAGTCCCTTTTAAGCGCGCGGGTGAGGACCCACAGCCAGGCAACCCGTTCAATATCGGGGCTGCCCTATAACAATAAGAACCAAGTATTGTGACGGGTGCCCAAAGATTGATTAATATAATTTTTTGCAGCGAGATTATGAAACAGGAAGTATTCAGGTCTTTATAAGCAATTAGGCTCCCAACGTGGTTAAATACTCAAGATTTAGCATCCAGTTAGAAGCAGCTGGAACGAGACCAGGTTGTCTGACTTTCAAGGAAGTCTCTAGAAAGGAGATTGTGCAGGAAACCCTGATAGGGACGGAGCCAAGAGACATCCCAATTATTATTTAAGAAATGTGCACTGCACGGTGCATACTGAAGAACAGTGTGAGGACGTCAAAAAGACTAGTCTATAAACACCCGCAGAGGAATTAGCTAATTAAATAAAGACGCCCTGTCTAGGACTGGGATTCCAACCGAGAGCTTCCCCGGAGGCAAGGGCAGGGAGGGCGCCACCTGTCCGGGCGAACCCAGGAACCCGCTCTAGAGACAGAGGTTCCGCCTCGTTCCTCTCCTCACATCCTGATTGGCTGCTTCTCCCCGGCCCCGCCTCCTCCTCAGTGGGGACCATTAAGCAGCCAAGTTCTACCCACCCGGGCGGGCGCCTCCAATCAGGTCCCAGACCCACCCGTCCCCCAGAGACCCCTGTCTTCGGGCAAGTCCCCTCACTCTCGTCCGTGATTGGCCAGGCGGCACCTGGCTCCGCCTCCGCCTGCTCCGGATTGGCCGGTGGCCCCCGGGCCTCGCGACCCTCCCGCCGCCCCTCCGGTCAGGCCCTCGGCGGCCGGCCTCGGGCGAGCGGCGGCCTCGCGGGCGTGGGCCCCGCCCCCAAGTGACGGCCGCGCCGGGAATTGGCGGCCGCGTGCGGCCACTTCCGGTTTCGGGGGGCGGGAGGGGAGCGGAGCGGGCCGGAGCCGCCGCCGCCCACAGAGCCTGCCCTGCGCCTGGTGCTGCCGGGACGATGCGGCCGGGGCCCGGAGGCTGCTGCTGCCGCCGCCCGCCGCGGCCGAACGGCTGCGTGGCGAACGGGGACGTGCGGAACGGGTACGTGAGGAGCAGCGCCGCCGCCGCCGGCCAGGTACGCGGGGACGGGGCCGCCCGGGGCGCTGGGGCCCCGCGAGCCGGCGCCCTTGCGGGCGGGCGGAGGGGCGGCCGGGCGGGGCGAGGTCGCGGCCCCGGCCCCGGCCGCGGGGGCGGGCGCCGGGCGGCTCGGGGGTGCTGGCGGCGGGGGCCCGAGGCCCGAGGCCCAAGGGCGGCGCGGGGCCCCCCGGGCCCCCGGGCCTGAGCGTTTCCTCGCCCCCCACCCCCAGGTTTGGGCGCGGCCCGACCCGGCCGGGAGTGCGGGCCGCCGGCCGGGGAGCAGCCAGTGGCCCCTCCGGAGCCGGGGGGAGCCTGACCCAGCCCCAGCTCCAGGTTCTGTCCCCGGAGGCGGTGCGTCCTCCCCGGGCCCCACGCCCTCCGAGGGGGACCCCCGGGGGGGGCGTAGAAAGTTCGGAGGTGCTGCCAGGCGGGCACCCCCCGCCCCTCCCCGCCGCATGCCCGCCCTCCCCGCCTGCTGCACCCTGGACCACTTGGCAGGGAACCCGGCTCAGTGCCTCGAAAGCAGCATCCTGTTCCCTCGCGCAAGGGGGTTGTTTACCCTGGTGGTGATAATGGACGAGTCTCTCTACTCATTAAGGTTGAATCACCAAGTCCAGGTAGTTCGGAAATAGTTTTAAAAGTTCTGAATTCAAGATAAAATTTTTATCAACCTTCCAGTTCTCTGGACTGACAGTAACTTTGCTGCAGTGTGTTTTTAAAGATGAGCTGCTTAAAAAGTGCAAGATCAGTGTTCCTGCAAGTGTTGTGTTTCAAAGTCAACTTGCAATTTATTTTTATTTTTATTTATTTATTTTAGAATATTTATTTATGCATGCAAGAGCTGGGGTACAGGCCAGAGATGCAGGGGGTGAGGGGGTGAGAGGATTCACCGGAGATAGAATGGGGAACAGAACAGGCAGACTGACTGAAATACGGGCGAGACAGGAGAGGTCTGCTGTGCCATGTGGATGGCTCCCTGGCGGGAGGGGGAGAGGGGGCTCGAACTCGTGTTGCAGAGGCTGCAGACAGCTTCATAGTGCGATGCTTAACCCCTTGTGCCACCAGGGAGGCCCTTGCAATTTATTTTTAATACTTACAAATCTCATTCAATAATTACGGGAAAAATTTTTTGAAGCGGTGTCTGGCCCTCAACAGGAGTGTCACTGTTGTGATTTAATTTGACTTTAACATAAATATCTGGTATCTTTCTCGCCCAATCAGTAGTTATGGTTTATAGGCTGTTAATCTTTGGTGGGAAATAAAGTAAACCATTTCTCCAGGTCATGTTGACATATTAAGAGTATGGGAGTTGAGGTGGGAGGGAGGGAATATAAAATATGAAAGACTTGCTCACCCCTGTTGTTACAAGGTATAAAGCAACACAGTACACAGATTCAAAAGATAAGGGGTTTTTTTTGGTAAAGATTTATTTATTTAGGGCCTCCCTGGTGGCGCAGCGGTTGAGCGCTGGGTTGCGAAGCTGCCCGCGGCCTCTGCAGCGCTGGTTCCATCCCCGGCTGCTCCCCGGCCACCGGAGGAGGGTCCCGCATGGCGCGCAGACCTCTCCTGCCGCCTGCTGCTCCCCTCAGCAGTGTACTTCGGTCCTTCTGCCTGCTCTGCTCCCCGCTCTGGCTCTGGTGAATTCTCTCACCCTCCCGTGCTTCTGACTGTACCCAGTGCATGTATAAACAAATAAATAAATCTTTTTTTAAAAAAGATTTATTTATTTATGCATACAAGAGCTGGGGTACTGGCCAGAGAGGCACAGGGGTGAGAAGATTCACCAGAGACAGAGTGGGGAACAGAACAGGCCGACTGACCAAAGTACACTGCTGAGGGGAGCAGCGGGCAGTCAAGAGAGGTCTGCTGCACCATGTGGGTTTCTCCCTGGCGGGCCGGGGATTGAACTCGTGCTGCAGAAGCTGTGGACAGCTTCATAGGTTGCATCTTAACCCTTGCGCCACCAGGGAGGCCCAGATTTGTTTTTATTTTTAAAGAAATAACTGTGAGAGAGAAAGTGATAACAATTAGTTCATTGTTAGCAATGGAAGGAGTTGTTTTCCCAGCAGTGTATATGAATGGCTCATAAGTGAAAAACCACTGAACTACACATTATAACAGGGAAATATAATGGGGAAAACTCAAAAAATAAGAGGAAAATGAGTGAGTTATGGTTTTTAAAAGGGAAAAGAAAATCAAGAGAAAGGTGATCATATTTCATAGGTGCTTTGCGTTTACCTTCACATAGGAGTTCTCATCATCCCTAATAACTTAGCATTTGGAGGCATATTTCTTCAGAGATTGCCGACTAATAAGGTAAAGACATATCAGGTTGCTAAGATAAAATTTAAGAATCTGTAGGACTCTAATGACTGTTTCAGATATATTTGTGGAAAAGTCCACACAAGGCAATGTGGTGGCATTTGAAAGACTGGTCTAGTGGAATGCCCTAAAATTTTTATTAGGGCTGCAAGAGCCTTTCTAGAAAACAATTTCCCACAAGTCCCTTTAAAATATATTCTTTAGGTGTGTAGCTTTGTAAGCTAATATGAGAACTGTTGTCTTGCAGGTTGTTTCCTTTTTCTTAAGCAAAGGAGATTTTGGTAATTTTGTGAGAGCAAGGGTATCTTATCTTATTAACTTCATTCCCCAGCATTATTTGTCTTTCGATGATTAGGATAGCAGTTAGAAACTTAAAAGATTCCTTTCAAGAGTTTCTGGTTCCGGGCCTCCCCAGTGACGCAGCGGTTGAGCGCTGGGTTGTGAAGCTGCCTGCAGCCTCTGCAGCGCTGGTTCAATCCCCGGCTGCTCCCCAGCCCCTGGAGAAGGGTCCCACATGGTGCGCAGACCTCTCCTGCCGCCCTCTGCTCCCCACTCTGGCTCTAGTGATTTCTCTTACCCTCCCGCGCTTCTGACTGTACCAAGTGCTTGTATAAATAAATAAATAAATAAATCTTTAAAAAAAAAAAAAAAAGTTTCGGGTTCTGTGTTTGAACTCCTGGATTTGGGTTGAGTTCAAGTAAATACGTCTTGTAGTAGAAATGGTGTATGAACAGTAAGACATTTCTGCTTATTTTCTGTTTTTCCTCCCATCTAAAAAATTGTGGTGGGGCCTCCCTGGTGGCACAGGGAATTAAGGCACCGCACTATGAGGCAATCCGAAGCCTCAGCAGACAGCATGAGTTTGATCCTGGGCCTGCCAGGGAGCAACCTACATGGCGAGGCAGACCTCTCCTCTCTTGTCCACTGCTCCCCAGTGTATTTCAGTCAGTCTGCCTGTTCTCTTCCCCGCTCTGTCTCTGGTGAATCCTCTCATCCCCCACATCTCTGGCCTACACCCCAGCCCTTGTATGCATAAATAAATTTTAAAAATTGTGGTAAATGAAAAAATGAAATATATATTTTAAACATTTTTGAGTGTAGAGTTGAGTGATACTAAATACATTCATAGTGTTGTGCAACCATCACCATCATCCATCTCCGGAACTTTTCATCTTGTGAAACTGAAACTTTATGAAACAGTAACTCTTCATTCTTCCTTTCCTCATTCCTTGAAAACCACCACACTTCTGTCTTAGTGAATTTGTTCTAAGTGATTGATATAGGTGAAATCATACAATGTTTGTATTTTTGTAATGGAATCTTTTCATTTAGCTTAGTGTTCTCATGACTTATCCTTATAGGAACATGTATCAGAATTCCTTCCTTTTTAAGGCCGAACAGTGTTCCATGGTATGTGCAGTCATGCATTGCTTAACTTTGATGTTTCAGTCAATGATGGACCAACTATATGACAGTGGTTCCACTGTACCATACTGCCAAGGTGTGAGTGAGTAGGCTAGTGCATGTAGGTTTGTGTAATTACACGCTGACATTTGCACAATGGCAGCTCACCTAGTGAAGCATTTCTCAGAATGGAGTTCTGTTGTTCAGCGGCTAAACATGACGGTCTCTACCACTTTTTGCTTAATCTATCATTGGACACTCAGGTTGCTTCCATGTGTTAACTGTTTGAACTATGCAGCTATGAAAATCTGTACAAATCAGTGTCTCTTCAAGACTCTGGTTTCACTTCTTTTGTGTGTATACCCAGCACTGGAATTAACAGATTATATGGTGATTCTATTTTTAATTTTTAGGGAAACCACCATACTGTTTTCCCCAGCAGGTGTACTGTTTTTATATTGCCATCAACATTGCACAAGGCTTCTAATTTTTCCACATACTCACCAGACACTTGTTTTTTTGTTTGCTGTTGTTTATTGATAGCTAATGAGATAATAGGAAAAAAATACATATTTGTGTATGCCCCTGGTTCCTGGCATAGAGCTTCTGAAACATGTAATACTTCCTAAGTGCTAAGTGCATTGGGAACATCTTTTCTTCTAATATCTGACTTTTGACTAATTCCTGACATACAGTTTCTAAATCCCTGGGAATTTCTTGGGTGATTGTTATCTTTTGTTTCAATGAGGTGACTTTTGGTGGGCTCCTTGGTGGGGGGCCGGGGGGAGGGGGCTGGTCACCAGAAAGACCAAAGCATGATTAGAAGTTTGGAATTTTCCAGAGAGAGGAGAGACGTGGGGAAATGGAGTTAATGATTGATCGGTCTGTGTAATGAAACGGTCATAAAATTCCCCAAAGTAAGGGGTTCACAGAACTTCCAGGTCGCTGAACAGATGGAGGTGCTAGGAGAGTAGCATGTGACTTCCCATATACCTTGTCCTCTGTATCTCTTCCATCTGATGTTTGTATCTTTCACCATTATCATATTCTTTTATAATAAGCTGCTGAATAATAAGTTATTCTTTTCTTGAGTTATCCGTACTGCCCTAGAAAATTAGTGGAATAAGAGGAGGAGGTCCTGGGACCTCCCTTTTATAGCTGATAGTTCAGAAGCACAGCTAACAATATGGACTTTGCCGTTGACATCTGCAGTTCATTGGGGAGGCAGTATCTTGTGGGAGGGAGCCCTAACCTGTGGTATCTGATTCTATC